ATAAGTCATTGAGCTATACCCAGGCGGTACTCCACACGATTAATCTCTCAGCGTGATCCATTGCTTCCTGCCCGAGAGGTTCTCTCTCTTACCCAAATATACTTGTATACTTCAAGGCGTCTTCTATACCAGAACACGTCCAGTGCTTCCTGAAAATCTAAGGAATATGCATTATTCTGTCCAAGATGCTCTCCAATGTTTGCTTTACGTCATCATGTTTCAGCATTTTACTAGGTTGCTTTGTCCAAGCTGAATGATCAGTTTGTCCAAGCTGAATGTTCGGTTTGTCCAAGCTGAATGATCAGTTTGTCCACGCTGAATGTTCGGTTTGTCCACGCTGAATGTTCGGTTTGTCCACGCTGAATGATCGGTTTGTCCAAGCTGAATGATTGGTTTGTCCAAGCTGAATGATCAGTTTGTCCAAGCTGAATGATCGGTTTGTCCAAGCTGAATGATCGGTTTGTCCAAGCTGAATGATCAGTTTGTCCAAGCTGAATGTTCGGTTTGTCCAAGCTGAATGATCAGTTTGTCCAAGCTGAATGATCGGTTTGTCCAAGCTGAATGATCAGTTTGTCCAAGCTGAATGATCAGTTTCTCCAAGCTGAATGATCAGTTTGTCCAAGCTGAATGATCAGTTTGTCCAAGCTGAATGATCAGTTTGTCCAAGCTGAATGATCAGTTTGTCCAAGCTGAATGCTCGGAGACAAATCTCAGCTGTGTTAAGTGTTCCGTGTGGTAATTAACAACTTGCAGTAAATGTTTGTTAATGATACTAACTCCTAGTTTAGTAGTTTGTGTTTCCTTTCTTGTATGGTGATATTACATCAGCTCTTTTCCAACTGTTTGGTAGTTCTCCCTTTTCCAGAGATACAATGAATATTATTGGAAAAGAATAAGCACATCAGTAGCATTAAATTATCAGTGACTATAGGGAAGGGCGGCCATTAAGCTCTTGATGCCCTGTTTACAACCTTTACTTTAGCTTTTAGCTTTATACATTAGCTTTTATGGCGTTCTAAACTTTTAGTCGAATCTGGTTTTCAAGTTGTGTATTGAGGAGTGTTTGTACTCGTACTGGTCTCTAGGACACAAACTATACCGGAGTGAATTAGTGTTCATCACCGAGTACATAGAGTAGAACGGACAGTGATAGAGGATAATTGTCCGGCGTGAGAACTACGAGATCGTTAGGAAGGGGTGGTAGGAGGCTGTTCAGCGTGGGATGGAGGGTGTAATGGAGCCTCAATCTTTCTATCTCAGTCTTTTGTGTAGCAGAGCATCAAGAGGATTGCTATAGTCTTGATACACGAGGGCCCTGTCTTCTCCACTATCAACTGGCTCAACACCAGCGGACTCTGTGGTGGTGTTAGTCCACACCACTGGAGGAGTCCGGACTCCAGGGCGCACTCACCACTGGTGGAGTCCGGACCCCAAGAAGCCATCACCACTGGAGGAATCCGGACCCCAGGAGGCCATCACCACTGGTGGAGTCCGGACTCCAGGAAGCCATCACCACTGGTGGAGTCCGGACTCCAGGAAGCCATCACCACTTGTGGAGTCCGGACTCCAGGAAGCCATCACCACTGGAGGAGTCCGGACTCCAGGAAGCCATCACCACTGGAGGAGTCCGGACCCCAGGAAGCCATCACCACTGGTGGAGTCCGGACTCCAGGAAGCCATCACCACTGGTGGAGTCCGGACTCCAGGAAGCCATCACCACTGGTGGAGTCCGGACTCCAGGAAGCCATCGCCACTGGTGAAGTCCGGACTCCAGGAAGTCATCACTACTGGTGGAGTCCGGACCCCATGAAGCCATCACCACTGGTGGAGTCCGGACCCCAGGAAGCCATCGCCACTGGTGGAGTCCGGACTCCAAGAAGCCATCACCACTGGTGGGGTCCGGACTCCGAAAAGCCATCACCACTGGTGGAGTCCGGACTCCAGGATGCCATCACCACTGGAGGAGTCCGGACTCCAGGAAGCCATCACCACTGGTGGAGTCCGGACTCCGGGAAGCCATCACCACTGGAGGAGTCCGGACTCCAGGAAGCCATCACCACTGGAGGAGTCCGGACTCCAGGAAGCCATCACCACTGGTGGAGTCCGGACTCCGGGAAGCCATCACCACTGGAGGAGTCCGGACTCCAGGAAGCCATCACCACTGGAGGAGTCCGGACTCCAGGAAGCCATCACCACTGGTGGAGTCCGGACTCCAGGAAGCCATCACCACTGGAGGAGTCCGGACTCCAGGAAGCCATCACCACTGGTGGAGTCCGGACTCCGGGAAGCCATCACCACTGGAGGAGTCCGGACTCCAGGAAGCCATCACCACTGGAGGAGTCCGGACCCCAAGAAGCCATCACCACTGGTGGAGTCCGGACCCCAAGAAGCCATCACCACTGGAGGAGTCCGGACCCCAAGAAGCCATCACCACTGGTGGAGTCCGGACCCCAAGAAGCCATCACCACTGGAGGAGTCCGGACTCAAAGAAGCCATCACCGCTGGAGGAGTCCGGACTCCAGGAAGCCATCACCACTGGAGGAGTCCGGACTCCAGGAAGCCATCACCACTGGAGGAGTCCGGACTCAAAGAAGCCATCACCGCTGGACTGATGACTGACCACAACTAAACTAGCTGTAACTACTCAGTAATTTATTTTACGCTTCAAGCGTAAAAACTCGGACATTAAAATACTCAAGTCAGAGTACTCAAGTCCAGGCAACAGCTGCTACGGTTTGCTGCCCACAACAACGTTAATGATCACTCCCTTGTGGCCACACATCATCACAATTCACACATGACTTATATGTACTATTATATGTACTATTATATGTACTATGTTTTTGAAATATATATATATATATATATATATATATATATATATATATATATATATATATATATATATATATATATATATATATATATATATAGTGTGTGTGTGCGTGTGTATGTGTGTGTGTGTGTGTGTGTGTGTGTGTGTGTGTGTGTGTGTGTGTGTGTGTGTGTGTATGTGTGTGTTTGTGTATGTGTGTGTGTGTGTGTGTGTGTGTGTGTGTGTGTGTGTGTGTGTGTATGTGTGTGTGTGTGTGTGTTTGTGTATGTGTGTGTGTGTGTGTGTGTGTGTGTGTGTGTGTGTGTTTGTGTATGTGTGTGTGTGTGTGTGTGTGTGTGTGTGTGTGTGTGTGTGTGTGTGTGTGTGTGAGAGAGAGGAAGGCTGCAAGAACACGCAAGCTATAGATCACTAAGGGACCCGGCCAGGATTCGAACCCATGCCGCTCAGGATCGCCCCTAAACGTACACAATACCGTGACCTCCTCACCAATAATAGTCTAATTAGTCAATAATCTAAATACCAGCAACAGATAGTCTAAAGTTCGTTTTTGTCCACTTTGTCTACGTGTAGCTACCTTTCATGTCGTGATCATGTCGCCTATTATTCTTCCAGTGCCTAGCATGGTGAGGTCTACATAGTCCCCTGTGTAGCTCTGTGCTCGTAGCTCAGTCCCTTAAATCCAAGGGACCAATTTTGTTGCAAATTTCTGATTTTTTGTCTTTGGTAGATTTAGAAGGTTGTAATTCCAGGTGGTTGTTCTAGGTTGTAAGTGTTCAACATGGGTGACGTACAACGTCTTGACAGTGTTCTTGTCGTGCTTCACCTCTTGGTCTCCCGCCTCTGGGTCCGCAACCAACTGGTTCAATTGTTCCTTCCCCCCCCCCCTGGGTCCTGATTAAGGACGTCCGAATGTTGGCCAACACTTCATACAACACTTCATACAACACTTCATACAACACTTCATACAACACTTCATACAACACTTCATACAACACTTCATACAACACTTCATACAACACTTCATACAACACTTCATACAACACTTCATACACCACACAACACTTTTATTTATTTATCTATATATTTATATACAAGAAGGTACATTGGGTTTGTGAGAATACATAGCATGGTATTTACAATCTTGTCAAGCCACTAGAACGTTTCGGGCAGGTCCTTAATCTAACAGATAATTTTAAGTAGGTAAATTCTAGCAGAATTAATAAAATGATAACAGATACATTGCAAGAAGAAAATGAGATGAGAGAGATTAGTAAGTATATTAAAGCACATTGGTATATTAAAGCTCTGATTGATTACATTGACAACTTGATTGGTAATTTAAACAAGATTAATAGACACCATACAGCAGATTGACAGTACATATAAGAAGACAGCAATGATCACAATGGTAAAGATGTTCAGATTGGGTACATAAAGATTGGGAGATTGGGTAGCAATAGATACAGTGCAATTTTAAAGCAACAAGGTAAAAAACTATGAAGATGAAATTAGGTACTTTGTAGTTTTGTTTTTAAATGAGGCAAAAGTTGGACAGCTTTTCAATTCATTAGGGAGTGAGTTCCATAGACTGGGTCCCTTAATTTGCATAGAGTGTTTACACAGATTAAGTTTGACTCTGGGGATATCAAAGAGACATTTATTTCTGGTGTGGTGATAATGGGTCCTATTACATCTGTCCAAGAAGAGTTTCAGAGCAGGATTTGCATTTAAGAACAGGGTTTTGTAAATGTAGTTGACGCAAGAGAATGTGTGGAGAGAGATTATGTATAGCATGTTCAGGGATTTAAACAAGGGGCTGAGTGTTGTCTGAAAAAAGAATTTGTTATTATTCTGAAAGCAGATTTTTGCTGGGTGATGATGGACTTGAGGTGGTTTGCAGTGGTAGACCCCCATGCCATAATGCCATATTAAGGTTGACCTTAATACCATAATTAATAAGATAGGGATAGATTATTGGTTTGGTTTAAAGTCGAGCAGCCATACCTCAGAGCATCTCTCTACAATCAGCGTCAACACTTTCTGTCTGCCTTTATTTAGTAGCTAACATATGCCCTTGTTACTGTCAGGTCCACGCCACACCAATTTTCTCTTAACTACTTAATCGTTCAAAGTGGTTCCCCGCGACGCGGCCGAGTAGCAGTTTTCACACGATGTTACATCTTTTTTGTATTTCTTCTCTTTCTCTCTCTTTTGCTCCTCTGGTTCTCACGTTCCCCACTGTGTTGTAGTGGTTCCTCTCTGTGTTGTAGCGGTTCCCCTCTGTGTTGTAGTGGTTCCTCTCTGTGTTGTAGTGGTTCCTCTCTGTGTTGTAGCGGTTCCTCTCTGTGTTGTAGTGGTTCCCCTCTGTGTTGTAGTGGTTCCTCTCTGTGTTGTAGCGGTTCCTCTCTGTGTTGTAGCGGTTCCTCTCTGTGTTGTAGCGGTTCCTCTCTGTGTTGTAGCGGTTCCTCTCTGTGTTGTAGTGGTTCCTCTCTGTGTTGTAGTGGTTCCTCTCTGTGTTGTAGCGGTTCCTCTCTGTGTTGTAGCGGTTCCTCTCTGTGTTGTAGTGGTTCCTCTCTGTGTTGTAGTGGTTCCTCTCTGTGTTGTAGCGGTTCCTCTCTGTGTTGTAGCGGTTCCTCTCTGTGTTGTAGTGGTTCCTCTCTGTGTTGTAGTGGTTCCTCTCTGTGTTGTAGCGGTTCCTCTCTGTGTTGTAGCGGTTCCTCTCTGTGTTGTAGCGGTTCCTCTCTGTGTTGTAGCGGTTCCTCTCTGTGTTGTAGCGGTTCCTCTCTGTGTTGTAGCGGTTCCTCTCTGTGTTGTAGTGGTTCCTCTCTGTGTTGTAGCGGTTCCTCTCTGTGTTGTAGTGGTTCCTCTCTGTGTTGTAGTGGTTCCTCTCTGTGTTGTAGTGGTTCCCCTCTGTGTTGTAGTGGTTCCCCCTCTGTGTTGTAGCGGTTCCCCCTCTGTGTTGTAGCGGTTCCTCTCTGTGTTGTAGCGGTTCCCCTCTGTGTTGTAGCGGTTCCTCTCTGTGTTGTAGCGGTTCCCCCTCTGTGTTGTAGCGGTTCCCCCTCTGTGTTGTAGCGGTTCCCCTCTGTGTTGTAGTGGTTCCCCCTCTGTGTTGTAGCGGTTCCCCCTCTGTGTTGTAGCGGTTCCCCCTCTGTGTTGTAGCGGTTCCCCCTCTGTGTTGTAGCGGTTCCTCTCTGTGTTGTAGCGGTTCCTCTCTGTGTTGTAGCGGTTCCTCTCTGTGTTGTAGCTGTTCCCCCTCTGTGTTGTAGCGGTTCCTCTCTGTGTTGTAGCGGTTCCTCTCTGTGTTGTAGGGGTTCCTCTCTGTGTTGTAGGGGTTCCTCTCTGTGTTGTAGCGGTTCCTCTCTGTGTTGTAGCGGTTCCTCTCTGTGTTGTAGTGGTTCCCCCTCTGTGTTGTAGCGGTTCCTCTCTGTGTTGTAGCGGTTCCTCTCTGTGTTGTAGTGGTTCCTCTCTGTGTTGTAGTGGTTCCCCCTCTGTGTTGTAGCGGTTCCCCCTCTGTGTTGTAGCGGTTCCTCTCTGTGTTGTAGCGGTTCCCCTCTGTGTTGTAGCGGTTCCTCTCTGTGTTGTAGCGGTTCCCCCTCTGTGTTGTAGCGGTTCCCCCTCTGTGTTGTAGCGGTTCCCCTCTGTGTTGTAGTGGTTCCCCCTCTGTGTTGTAGCGGTTCCCCCTCTGTGTTGTAGCGGTTCCCCCTCTGTGTTGTAGCGGTTCCCCCTCTGTGTTGTAGCGGTTCCTCTCTGTGTTGTAGCGGTTCCTCTCTGTGTTGTAGCGGTTCCTCTCTGTGTTGTAGCGGTTCCCCCCTCTGTGTTGTAGCGGTTCCTCTCTGTGTTGTAGCGGTTCCTCTCTGTGTTGTAGGGGTTCCTCTCTGTGTTGTAGGGGTTCCTCTCTGTGTTGTAGCGGTTCCTCTCTGTGTTGTAGCGGTTCCTCTCTGTGTTGTAGTGGTTCCCCCTCTGTGTTGTAGCGGTTCCTCTCTGTGTTGTAGCGGTTCCTCTCTGTGTTGTAGCGGTTCCTCTCTGTGTTGTAGGGGTTCCTCTCTGTGTTGTAGGGGTTCCTCTCTGTGTTGTAGCGGTTCCTCTCTGTGTTGTAGCGGTTCCTCTCTGTGTTGTAGTGGTTCCCCCTCTGTGTTGTAGCGGTTCCTCTCTGTGTTGTAGCGGTTCCCCCTCTGTGTTGTAGCGGTTCCTCTCTGTGTTGTAGCGGTTCCCCTCTGTGTTGTAGCGGTTCCCCCTCTGTGTTGTAGCGGTTCCCCCTCTGTGTTGTAGTGGTTCCTCTCTGTGTTGTAGCGGTTCCTCTCTGTGTTGTAGCGGTTCCTCTCTGTGTTGTAGTGGTTCCCCCTCTGTGTTGTAGCGGTTCCTCTCTGTGTTGTAGCGGTTCCTCTCTGTGTTGTAGTGGTTCCCCCTCTGTGTTGTAGTGGTTCCTCTCTGTGTTGTAGCGGTTCCCCCTCTGTGTTGTAGTGGTTCCTCTCTGTGTTGTAGTGGTTCCCCCTCTGTGTTGTAGTGGTTCCCCTCTGTGTTGTAGGGGTTCCCTCTCTGTGTGTAGCGGTTCCTCTCTGTGTTGTAGGGGTTCCCCCTCTGTGTTGTAGCGGTTCCTCTCTGTGTTGTAGGGGTTCCCCCTCTGTGTTGTAGGGGTTCCCCCTCTGTGTTGTAGGGGTTCCCCCTCTGTGTTGTAGGGGTTCCTCTCTGTGTTGTAGGGGTTCCCCCTCTGTGTTGTAGGGGTTCCCCCTCTGTGTTGTAGGGGTTCCTCTCTGTGTTGTAGGGGTTCCCCCTCTGTGTTGTAGTGGTTCCCCCTCTGTGTTGTAGCGGTTCCCCCTCTGTGTTGTAGCGGTTCCTCTCTGTGTTGTAGTGGTTCCTCTCTGTGTTGTAGTGGTTCCCCTCTGTGTTGTAGTGGTTCCCCCTCTGTGTTGTAGCGGTTCCCCATCTGTCGTGTACAACCTTCACCGGTTCTTCTGGCATTGTTTCGTGCCACAAGACACCGTCAAAACACGGACCGGGATGGTCCATCTCTCTGTCCCGGTCGTTAGTGCTGCACTCAACCTATTTCCTGCTGGTGAGTAGTTCTGGACCCTATAGTCCATCATTTTTTGTACGGACATGTTTCTGGGCTGTGTTCTCCATTGCACTCCTTGCAAATAGTTCCCTATTTCTGCTTTCCTTGTCCCTTATTTACTGTTCTCTCGGGCTTCTTCCTTTATGTTGTATGTGAACTAAGAATCAAAGAACAGTGCACAGTGGTCTCGGGCCTGTTGAAGCCTCTTGTGGTCTATTGGCTCAATGTTTTAAGCATTTCGGGGGGAGAAAATGTGGCCTACTCAGCCACTGTTCTTGCTTGCGCTTCCTCGGAAGAACATGAACACCTAAGAATGCCAATGGATTCGACGCCCTCTGCAGGACAGAGACGTTTGAGAATTTTTCCTTTCATTCCGGGAGTTGGACAGCTGTTGCCTCCTTAGGGAGGGTCCGAAGTGGGTCTAAGACCACTTGGACAACAACACCAGGCTTCCTGTCCCCGGTAATTGGAGGCACTGATGTCTAGCCTACACTTGAAACAGTCCTGTGATGTCACATATATATATATATATATATATATATATATATATATATATATATATATATATATATATATATATATATATATATATATATATTACCTGATATCCTATTCCACAAATCTACAACGCTATTTCGAAATTAATATTTATGCAGGAATCTTCTGACTCTAAAACTCATTCAGCTTGTGTTCCACTATGTTGTTGTGGGTGGCAAGCACCCGATTGGTGTCCACCTTCCATGGTTCACTCATGGCAGCTTCTACTACCATGGTTCACTCATGGCAGCTTCTACTACCATGGTTCACTCATGGCAGCTTCTACTACCATGGTTCACTCATGGCAGCTTCTACTACCATGGTTCACTCATGGCAGCTTCTACTACCATGGTTCACTCATGGCAACTTCTACTACCATGGTTCACTCATGGCAGCTTCTACTACCATGGTTCACTCATGGCAGCTTCTACTACCATGGTTCACTCATGGTAGCTTCTACTACCATGGTTCACTCATGGCAACTTCTACTACCATGGTTCACTCATGGCAGCTTCTACTACCATGGTTCACTCATGGTAGCTTCTACTACCATGGTTCACTCATGGCAACTTCTACTACCATGGTTCACTCATGGCAGCTTCTACTACCATGGTTCACTCATGGCAACTTCTACTACCATGGTTCACTCATGGCAGCTTCTACTACCATGATTCACTCATGGCAACTTCTACTACCATGGTTCACTCATGGCAGCTTCTACTACCATGGTTCACTCATGGCAACTTCTACTACCATGGTTCACTCATGGCAGCTTCTACTACCATGGTTCACTCATGGCAACTTCTACTACCATGGTTCACTCATGGCAACTTCTACTACCATGGTTCACTCATGGCAACTTCCACTTCCATGGTTCACTCATGGCAACTTCTACTACCATGGTTCACTCATGGCAACTTCTACTACCATGGTTCACTCATGGCAACTTCTACTACCATGGTTCACTCATGGCAACTTCTACTTCCATGGTTCACTCATGGCAACTTCTACTACCATGGTTCACTCATGGCAACTTCTACTCTTCACTCTTGTAAAGAAGGTAACTCAAGCTGCCTTAATCTATCTTCTTAAGGGAGGTTGTGAATGCCTTCAACTAATTTGCGCATTTTGTAGATAATTTTGATTGTTTGTGTACCAGTGTGTTCAGGAGAGAGAATCTGAACTGCGCAATCTTAGACCTTACCAGGATTTAAATGGGGCAAATATAAATTACATATATTTTTTTTTTGCATGTTGTGTTTGTGTATATAGGAACTTTGTTATATCCAATTATATAATTAAATGTTAAAACTACAAAATAATCAGCAAAATTATAAATATTGTAGTCTTAATTTTGTAATGTAAAGGTGTGTGTCCAGTTAATAGATGAAGTCACAAGAGCGAGGGATATCTATGGTAAATGTTGTGTCTTCAATTTCTTTCTTTATTATGCACCCCATACCCATCCCGTGGGCGGTTATCTTGAGGTTATCTTGAGATGATTTCGGGGCTTTAGTGTCCCCGCGGCCCGGTCCTCGACCAAGCCTCCACCCCCAGGAAGCATCCCGTGACAGCTGACTAACTCCCAGGTACCTGTTTACTGCTAGGTAACAGGGGCATTCAGGGTGAAAGAAACTTTGCCCATTTGTTTCTGCCTCGTGCGGGAATCGAACCCGCGCCACAGAATTACGAGTCCTGCACGCTATCCACCAGGCTACGAGGCCCCTACGAGGCGGTGGTGTAAAGAATTACAGAGGCACATAATCGGTTCAGGAACTGAACCCTCTAGTTGTGTCTGGGAGGACTCAGGAAGGGGGGTAGAAATAGCCTAAGCTACTCTATCCCTTTGAGATGTATTTATTGCTTATCTCAATAAACATACTTGAACTTGAACTTGACTCAGGACGCTGGTTCTATCTCGGTCCGGCTACAGTTACATTTAATATTTTATATATTATATTTATATATATATGTTATATTTTAATATATAATAATAAAGGTTCTTATATTTAGTTGTCATAAATAAAAACAATAAAAAAATAAAAAATTATATTACTGTTAGAGTAGTTGTAACTGTGTCATGTGCGGCGTTTATCATAACTCTGCTGCACCCTGTCGTCCCGGGTTCGATCCCGGGCGCCGGCGAGAAACAATGGGCAGAGTTTCTTTCACCCTATGCCCCTGTTACCTAGGAGTGAAATAGGTACCTGGGTGTTAGTCAGCTGTTACGGGCTGCTTCCTGGGGGTGGAGGTCCTGGTCGAGGACCGGGCCGCGGGGACACTAAAGCCCCGAAATCATCTCAAGATAACCTCAAGAAGAAAGATAACTCTTTATCCCCCCCCCCTCCCTCTTCTGGGACCCTTCTGGAGTTTGTTGGTCGTGTGTAGGTCCTCTAAGGCTGGCCAACCGCTTGGACTGGACGGTAGAGCGATGGTCTCGCTTCATACAAGTCGGCGTTCTATCCCCGACCGTTCATGGGGTTGGGCACCATTCCCTTCCCCCCCCCCTCCCCCGTCCCATCCCAAATCCTTATCCTGACCCCTTCCCAGTGCTATATAATCGTAATGACTTATTGCTCTCTCCTGATACCTCCCTTCCCTTCACTAAGGCTGGGCGATACAGGGACGGCGTTCAATCCCCGATGGCCTGAATAGATTAGCATCGTTTCTTCATTCCCAGTTTCCTGTCGTCCTATCTAAGGTCTAAGATTGCCCCAAGTGTTGTATAGTAATACTGACATTGTGTTTTATCCTGATTTCCCAACGTCAAGAAACTGTCGCACTATAGTGCCCTTATCCTAACCTACCAGCGGACCCCAAACAGAAAACGGGACAGTGTTTTCCCGAGCCGCTACCATTTTCTGGCGCGAGGACTCGTGGCCTCAGGGAGTAGAGTGTACGTCAAAATACGACCTGCTACTACGAGGACGGGTTTGATATCCGCGTCACGTGGCTGGGGTCGGGCACGTAGCGTCTACCGCTACTTGTCCTCCGCTAGCGGCTGTGTTTCCTGCCTCTCAAGCTGTGTGTGTGTGTGTGTCCGGGGCGGGCATGTACTCACCTAGTTGTGTTTGCGGGGGTTGAGCTTTGCTCTTTCTGCCCGCCTCTCAACTGTCAATCAACTGTTTACAAACTACTTTTTTTCATCACACACACACTCCAGGAAGCAGCCCGTGACAGCTGACTAACTCTCAGGTACTTATTTACTGCTAGGTAACAGGGGCATTCAGGGTGAAAGAAACTTTGTCCATTTGTTTCTGCCTGGTGCGGGAATCGAACCCGCGCCACAGAATTACGAGTCCTGCGCGCTATCCACCAGGCTACGAGGCCCCCCTGTGTCCTCCTTCAACGTCCACTTGACCAGCAGCGCTACGCTTCCTCCACCTATGTGTGTGTACTCACCTAGTTGTGTTTGCGGGGGTTGAGCTCTGGCGCTTTGGTCCCGCCTCTCAACTGTCAATCAACAGGTGTACAGATTCCTGAGCCTACTGGGCTCTATCATATCTACACTTGAAACTGTGTATGGAGTCAGCCTCCACCACATCACTGCCTAATGCATTCCATTTGTCAACCACTCTGACACTGAAAAAATTCTTTCTATCGTCTCTATGGCTCATTTACGCACTCAATTTCCACCTGTGTCCCCTAGTGCGTGTGCCCCTTGTGTTAAATAATCTGTCTTTATCTACCCTATCAATTCCTCTGAGAATTTTGTGTGTGGTGATCATGTCCCCCCTAACTCTTCTGTCTTGAAGCGACGTGAGGTTTAATTCTCGAAGTCTCTCCTCATAGTTCATGCCCCCTCAGCTCGGGTACTAGTCTGGTGTCATACCTCAGAACCTTCTCCAGTTTAGTTTTATGCTTGACGAGATATGGACTCCATGCTGGAGCTGCATACTCCAGGACTGGTCTGACATATGTGGTATACAAGGTTCTGAATGATTCTTTAAACAAGTTTCTAAAGGCCGTTCTTATGTTGGCAACCTGGCATATGCCGCTGATGTTATCCTCTTGATGTGGGCTTCAGAGGACAGGTCTGGCGTGATATCAACCCCCAGGTCTTTCTCTCTCTCTGATTCTTGAGGAATTTCATCTCCCAAATGATACCTTGTATCTGGCCTCCTGCTCCCTACACCTATCTTCATTACATTACATTTGCTCGGGTTAAACTTTAACAACCATTTGTTGGAACATTCCTTCAGTTTAAAAACCTAGTTTCAACCCAGTTGAAACTAGGCAGTGGAAACAGGAGGCTAGACACAGGATACAGAATAGGAGATGAAGTTCTTAATGAAACAGACAGAGAGAAAGATCTAGGAGTTGATATCACACCA